TTCAGTTCATTTTTCTGCATACCATGATTTGTTTTCGGAGTTTATGGATTTTTTTTTTTTTTTTTTTTTGCTGGGGCGTTCTTTGACCCTTGCATGGCCGGGCCGCCCGGGCAAACAAGGTCACCTGGGCGGTCCGACTGGTAGCCTAGCCTAGCCTATTTTCTGGGGAGTCGTGTTGTGTTGATGTCAACATGATGTCTTACCGTAGACAGTGGCACAGTTCTTCGCAATGCCTTCTTTCTTTGTGTGTGTGTGTGTGTGTGTGTGTGAATGTGTGTGCGCTTGCTTGTGTTTGTGAGTGTGTGCTTGCGTATATTTGTGAGTGTATCTGTGCTTGCTTGTATTTTATTGGACATTATTGACCTGGAGAATCATGCCTTAGGTACCCGTCTCGGTATTTTCTCGGTGAAGGGTATCATCATCATCTGCACTTTTGCGAAATCCAAAAAAAATGGATGAAGACTAGAAGCTTGTACAGATGTTCTTTTCAAAGCTAGAAGATAAAAAAAGATTGAAATTATTATTTGCTTCAATTCTCACTAAAGCATCTTTCATTATTTCATAAGATTTTTTTTTATCATTAATAAAAAAATTGTAATTTAATGGGTGTATCTTTTCGTTGTAAAATGAGAAATATGGATGAATAGACGATAAGACTGGAAATATAGGTCAATAGACGATGAGACTGGAAAGCTTTGGCTACCGTCTTCCCCCGAACACAACGCATCCCTATTTTGGCTGTATCTGGCCGGAAATATAGCTTGTATACATTCATTTTTAGGGTGCGTTATGTTTGGGGGAAGACTGTAGAGTTTTTGAACTGTAAGTCAGCCTCACTCCAGTTGGGATTAGAAGCGGAATGCGATGTGGGCTTCAGATTCTGCAGTTTTCATTCAAAGAAATGCGTGCAGTACCCATACACAAACATACACATGCACACGACCACATATATGGATCCATGCATAGAGATGCCAACAGGGGGACGCACGCCGCCATGACACACGTACACATGCGTAAAGGCAGAGACGGACATGCACTGAGTGTAAGATGCAGATGCATGTACGAGCATTTTGGAAACGTTTTCATAGACTGTGTGATCCCGACCTAACCCAGGTCGTCTCCGGTTGACACAGTGTACATATAGATCGATCTTTGAGCGAGTTGTAACCATCGATTGATTATCTTGACCGTATCGGTTGAATCTTGAATTATTTAAAAATTGAGGATCTTTTATATATATATCGTCAAATCTTTTATATATATGAGTCGGTGGAACTCCGACGAAGCAGTTTGTCACAGCCCCTCGTTTGTTGTCCTCTTCTCCCTCTCTGCCTACGGTTTACCGGGCAGTTCTGTTTGACGATATATGACGATATTGACGATATATTGACGATATATATATATGTTTCTTGTCCTCTTCTCCCTCTCTGCCTATGGTTTACGGGGCAGCTCTGTTTCATGATATATATCGTCAAACAGAGCTGCGCGGTAAACCGTAGGCAGATTTTTTTGTTTTTTGGGGGTATTGGAAAGTTGACGACAAGTATCGTATACAAAATCAGTATTGCATACATATTACATAGTTATTCGGGGGTGAATTTGGGGGCGGAGAGGGGTGAGGAAGGAAGGAAATTGTGAATTTTGAGAAAAGGGAAGGGCGTACACGTCTGTTGTTTTGTCTGATCACTTTTTTTTAGAAGTGGATGAATGAGTGCAAGGAAAATCTATTTTTAGAAGTGGATGAATGCAAGGAAAATCTACATCTACATCTGATGAAATATGTCCATGTTCAGGAAATCAATCGGAGGACGGAACATTCGAAATGCATTTGAATTTTGAAATGAAATGGACCAGCTTTTTGGTGTCAGGTATTACTGTTCTTGGATGGGACAAAGGGAGGGACATGACTACAAAAATACTAAAAAGTATATAAAAAATAGTGCAATACACCATTGCAGTGGACGGAAGCAGTTTCGTGACCAAAGAGTTTGTGGATTAGTGACAAATGCCGATATCATATATCGGAGTCGTGGATGAAATCAAAACTCTGTACATGTTTTCAAGTAACTAAAAAAACGAAAAAATAATCCTGGGTGAGAAGAGCGTGAAATTTGTGAACAAATTAGCTGGAGCTGAACTATCTACTACTTTATTTGGATAGAGAATTAAACCTTGATGACAACGGCATTGAGAAGAATGATAGGAAAAAAAAGGGCGTTCACTTGCGAGCGTTATTTTGTTGAGAGGGGGTTCGAACCGTTAAAATCCGTTAAAATCAAATCGGAACCTAGAATACCAGCCGGGCCGCCCGGGTCCTGGGTGGCGAGCCCGTGCAAGGACAAAGGACGGTCCCAGCAAAAAAAAAAAAACCGGGAAAAAAACAATGTTATGCAGAAAAATAAACTGAAAAACTTTTGCCTCAGGGTCAAATCGAAATTCTTACCAAATTTCAAATCAAAAATAGATTTAAAAATTATTTTTATTTTTATTTTTATTTTTTGGCCCGGCCGGGCAAATTACCCCGGGCCACTCTGGTAGCCTAGATCGGAACTGTATAGACAATTAGTATCAGGCCCCTTCGCAAGGATGACACACATAAATTGAGAAATGGTCCATAATTAAACCAGGGGAAAAAACAAAAAAAATCAGCGTTGTTCTTGTATGCAGTTTGTGTCAGCTTTGTGGGTGGGAGAACTGGCTTTCTGGGAAGGCAACAAAATGGTGGTGGTGGTTTGTGGAAAGGCTCTAAATGATATTCCAGGTAATCAACAATGGGCATGCCACTGTGTGAAGTGGTGGTTTGTGGAAAGGCTCTAAATGATATTCCAGGTAATCAACAATGGGCATGCCACTGTGTGAAGTGGTGGCGGTTTAAACTAGCGCTCTTTCTGAGGGCAAACAATTGGGGGGACCAGTAGCACAGGTTCATTAGAATTTACAGGGAGCAGAGTGTGGAAAACCGACAGTGGCAAAAATTAAATTGAAAATGTGTTGAATTGCATCCTCGATTCACTTCGGGGTTTAAGCGATCTTTTTAAATTTCAAGATGTCTTTTCCTGGAAAGATCACGAGCAAATCTATGAACCCTCCGATTTTCAAAGTCTTTAACTCGTTCCTTGGAGCGCGAAAAATCACCAAGGTTGGAGTATTTTTCGTGATATGTTTACTGGAAAGATGACGACTGAATTTACGGATGATCGAATTTTTATAATTTCTGTGATTTTTCTGAGTGCAAAAAAGCACCGAAGTTGTTGCATTAAATCACCAGTACTTGGCCCAGCTATTGATGCCGAGCCTGGAATGCCCCTGCGCGCCAACCAGTACCTCGGCGAGCCAAAAAAAAAAAGGTGCGGCCATTAACGCGCCGCGACTTTAGGGGGGTCGGGGCAGGCTTGGTAGCACGATGGAGAAAAAGCAGTCCGGCCCAAGGAAAAGGGGCAAGTGGATTGTAGGCTGTCCGTGTCGTTTATGGCGAGCATGTTTCCACATGCACGCACACAGCACAATCAAGAGAATAGAAAGAAAAAAATGAAAACAGGGAAAAAAAAAAAAAAAAGTACCCGCCACTTGGCAGGCAACAAAAACGGCCCTCGTGTGGTAGTTAAGGGCCATGCTCCACAACTCTCCAAATATGCAAAACGACAAGGCTGAATCTTCCATCGGAATATGGATAGATACATGTCTTTGTACATGTGGAGAGTACAGCCTGACAAATCCTTCTTCTTTGGCCTTGGCTCCACTAGTCTCCACATGCACGAAAGAAAGAACGCCATGGTGATGTATCTTTCAGTGTTCAAGGGGAGTAGGAGGATTCAGAGCACATTTTTCGCGGTCCCACTTTCAGTCTCCACTTGAACTCAAGTGGGACGCGAAAAATCAAAATCATCGTTCCACCCCGCCCTGGGGAAATGCTTTTTTGTTTTCACATTTTGCATCTCAAGTGCCCGCTCTTGAAACTCGAGTGCAGCCCAGGCAAAATCGCACTCGAGTTCAAGTCACCTCCCGGAGGCACTTGAAGTACATCTCTTACGAGGAGTTTCTTTCATATGTCAAGGCTGGTGAGGTTTTGCGCGTTGTATCGAATTAAACCACATGCTCCACCGCTTGTGCAGGCCCCCGTCAATTCCTTTGAGTTTCAGCCTTGCGACCGTACTCCCCAGGCGGAGTGTTTAACACGTTAGCTAGGTCCCTCATCGAATCGCCCCCAAACCCTTGGGTTTCAGCTGCGGGTGCAGGGTTTTTTCTTTTTCTTTTTCTTTTACGCCCCGCGTTCCTGGGTCACGGCATGTCCTTTTTGCGGTCCAGTGAGCAACGGCTACCGGTGGCGGTACCGGGTGCCACTGTTGAGGCGGACATATTCAAGGCCGGGTGCCGGCCTGCTGGATCG